AGCGTAGAACCTTTGTAGATACGCAGACAAATCAATCCCCACATAGCCCCGTACTTGGAGGTTCATGGTACTGATTATGATCCGTACTTAGAGCCCACTTCTTATAAGCCCCTTAAGTGCCCTAATCTGGCTATCATTGGGTTATAACCCTATACTTCCAGGGACTTAATTAATAGTTAGGTTACTAGAACCCTTAAGGGCTCAATTATTAGGTGCCTGGAAGAAAAGGGTTCATAAGCACCATGAAGCTCCAAGCAACCCAAGCCCTCCTGCGCGTTGACGTCGGAGCCTGTCGCCAGCATCTCAGCCACGACATGCGTGTATTGAAGGCGCGCAGCCTTCCGCTGGTCCGTGACACCTCATGCCCTGAACCTCTCACCCTGTACTTCCAGGGACCGAATAGTTGAGTCCTTTAGGGTTCTAGTAACCTTTATATCTACTACCTAGAGGCTCCTATGTAGTACCTTTTTGTGGAAGTATGCTAGAATCCCCTATAACTAACCCAAAAAGGGACTACATTGGAGACTCCAGGTAGGTCCTGGAAGTATAGGAAAATTAAATGATCAAATAAACAAATACATCGAAAGACCGGGACCTTGGACTCCACGTGCAGAAGTACCTACGGACCTTAAGGGTTTAGGGTTTAGGGTTTGGGGTTTAGGGTTTAGGGTTAGGCTGTATCGCACTACGTAGCCTTTAAGGCCGACCTTGCTTATGCCGTTGCGCCTCCGCCACATTGCTGAACTCGGAAATGGTGTCCATGGCGGTTTAAGGCTTAGGCCGTTCAGGGTTCAGGGGGCTGAGGGTTGTCATCAGAATCCACACATCTCAACGAGAAGAAAGCTCCATTCCCTAAGTCCCTAGGCCCTAGACTGAGCCCTATACTTCCAGGGACCTTATAGTTAGCTTACTAGAACCCTTACGGACTCAATTGCTAGATCCCTGGAAGCATAGGGGAAGACATGAACACTTTTGCGTTGGCCCGGGATCAAAGCAAACCTTGCAATCATGAACGGGCTGTGGAACATGGCGCGCAGCAGTTTCTGGAACTAGGAATCGAAACCTCGTATGTGGTGCTTTCTTTGGGGTGGCTACTTCCTTGACATACTAGACATGGATCCTTCGGGTGCATGCTTACTTGAAAGTTCATGGATAGTTATACTTAGAAAAAAACGGGACCCATTCGGGACTAAGCAAAAGCGCGAACATCCAAGACACAGCTAGCTCGATGTGTAGGTTCTGGGAGCAAAGTCGTGTTGTATACTTTCTAACCCTATACTTCCAGGGACCCAATAGTTATAGGTTCCACTAGAACCCGTAAGAACTCAATGATTCAGTCCCTGGAAGTATGGGGTCACTACTGTGCCAGCAAGCATGGGCCCAGTCAGGACGCATCCAACTAAACCCTAAACCCTAAACCCTAAACCCTAAACCCTAAACCCTAAACATATCTGCGCGTGCGACCCTGCCGCCTGGACTGAGCTTGAAGGGCCCCACGAAGTGTTGGGGAGGCTAACCCTATACTTCCAGGGACCTCATAATTCAGTCCTTCATGGGATTCCACCTCGGACCCCTAAGGTTGTGCCCTTGGGTTTGGGGACCCATTGTAAAGATCCTGGAAGTACAGGGTAAGTTGCAGATTCCACAAATGGGGCTTAGAACGACATAGAAGCCGCAGGGGCGTAGGGCTGATGGGATCTGGCTGGAACCTCATTTACCTACAGATTTGTGGCAAGTACCCCCCCCCCCCCCGCTTATTTAGTAGGTAGTATCCCTTAAAAACTGTAGGCAAATCGGGTCCCAGGTGAGTCTAAACCTCAACCCTTAACCCGAAACCCTGAACCCTAAACCCTAAACCTACCTGCGTGGTACGTACTTGAGCCCTAAAGAGCCATGTTGGGAACCTCAAGGCCGTGAAATAGGCAGATTTAGGGTGTAGGGTTTAGGGTTTAGGGTTTGGGGTTTAGGGTTTCGGGTTTTGGGTTTCGGGTTTGCCACCCTAATTGGTACAACCCATGCATGTTCTCTGCCCAGAAGTCGCAGCCACCCTAAGTCGAATGGAGCGTCGGCAGCCACTGGTGTCCGAGTCCAGCACCTGGGTTCTTATAGGGTTTAGGGTTTAGGGTTTAAGGGTTTAGGGTTTAGGGTTTAGGGTTTAGGGTTTAGGGTTTAGGGTTTAGGGCTAGTACTCGTTCAGGGTTTAGGGCTAGAGTGTTGAGGATGCGCGTTAGAAGGCTAAGTTTTGCCATTGAGAGCCAAGGCGGGCCTTCTCTCTTTCACTCTCTGGGGCCTCGATATGGCTGACGACTCTTACCTGCCATACATGCTCTTCTCAAGTTCTTCTTGGCCTTGGCTTATAGTTTAGGGTAAAGGGTTTAGGGTTCAATGCTTGTCGACGAAGAGCAAAACTCAAGTCTCCCGATGCACTCAAAGGCGCTCCATGCTGTGGTTGGCACGGGGCACCACGGCAATGTTCATGAACAAGGACCCTCGGGACCTGTGTTCTGCAGGCTTCCGGACTAAGCCCTCAAGCAACTACCTGCTTCGGCCAGACTGCGACAGTGTTATCTTGTAAGCTCCACTACATCTCCAGGGAACCGTGGATTGAAGGGGCGCATCGGAAGGCAAAGGGGTTTGCGCACAGGCCCGTCTTCCGCCAGCCTGGCGCATCATAAGGCAACTAAAACTCGAGGCTGGGCCTGCAGGACTGCAGCTCCTTGGCAGCTGCCGGTCCATGCATGCACGCTGCGCCCTTAGTCCCATGGCAGGCACCGACAGCACACCCACCCCCACAAAAGGAACATTGACAGGGGAAGCCCAGCAGTGACCTGCAGGCCCCAGGCAACGCAGCCATGGGAGTACGGCTCGGAAAGTGCGCTTGGGGTGCCCAAACACCGTCAAACATCCCTAAGCCCGAAACCTGCAACTTTTGGAAGTGGGCTGATGTCTTGCGGCTGGCAGGAAGGAAATTCGTGGACTGCGCCGTCCTCCAGCATTTCTCGGCAAGCCCGCAAGCTCAGGCATCCCTTAAGAAGGAAACTCCCAAGGCAAGCTGGCAGAGACGCTTTGCCCTTGGCATCCCAGGGACCAGCAGCTTCAGAAACCCCTGCACAGGAACTCGGGACCTCATCGAGCATCCCGCCAAGAGCGGCACACCGGTGATAAAGAAAGTCTCGAGGAGGAGGCCGGGATGGGCCGGAGGCCTCTCCTCAATCCACCGGTATCTGAACCCAAGATAGTGGGCGTGTCCTGCTGGCAAGGCAGGCCACAAGACCTGGGCGCACAGCTCAAAGGGCCCTTCCATGCCTCGGAGGACTCAAGGTTTCCTGTCAGGCGACACGAGATTTGCAGGGCTGACATTGGGTTCGGAAAAGTGAAACTAAAGGGGCAACCAGGAACCTCTCCCTGGGCGACCACTTACCGGGCCGCAGGTGGGTGGTTCGAGGACAGAGGGGAGATGAGGGTGCCGCTTGCCAGGTCCAGGAGGTTTTACTACAGGCCTTTAAGTTGAGGATGTCCAAAACCTCAGGCAAGCCCTCACTGGCTTCTGGCACAGTCCGCGCGGAACCAAAAGAGTTGCGCAGCGGGTACTTGACCAGGCCGCCGCACGCCGACATGCCGAAGTGTGTGACCCAGGCTCCCGGGCCCTCTTGCTGTCCCGTGCCTTCACCGCGCCCAGGTGCAGAAGGCGACTCGGGCTGCTGCGCAGCTGCGGCTGTCCGCTGGAGCGAACAGTTGCTAGGGTCCGCCGTGAAGCCGGGGCTGGTATGGTGAGCAACGCCCTGCTCCGGGACCTCAACCTCATAGACTGACCTTACCCAAACCACTCCTTGCTAAAAAAGCACCACTCGCCGTGTGCTTCACGCCTGCTAGCTCCACGCGGTCTTCAGACTTCATGCGTGATCTGAGAATAGGGCGAACTAGCATGAGCTTCAATGCCTGGGCATTTTTAAGAGGGGAGGGGGGGTCTATGCAGCGGTATGCAGGCTAGAGCGGCGGCTGGACTGGTAGAAGCGAACCAATATGCAAGGCAACTGTCATGGGAATCTCACAACGATCTGGAACTTTCAGCAACTACCAGAATCCATCCGAAGCGACATTGCATGAGCCATTCCACTGTTTCTTTGGCTTCTTGTTCCAACCGAACGTGAACAGACCAAGAAACAAGGGCTGATTATACGCCACGAAAGGCTCCCGAAATCAGTGCGCACGGCTCCGATGGCCATTCTGGTCCGGACGATAGCCTGACCTTACCCAAACCACTCTTTGCTGAAAGGCACAGGCATCTGACAATCAATCCATTCGTCGGGTGCTCCACTCCCACTAGCTCCAGGAGGTCTTGAGATTTCATGCGTCTGCTCTTATAATAGGCCCCGGCGATGCACGCTAGGCTTTTCGATATGCCTTGAGAGCCTTCGGACTCTATCAAACCGTAAGCACAAGGTAAGCGCCTTCCGGCAGACTTTCAACTTCGCACCGCTCAAGACCACGAAGGGTTCACAGACACCTGAAACGCCGCACACCACAACAGTTTTCTAAATGTCTTCTGGCAGCAGGCTCAGGTCCGGTGGAGCAAGCGGACACCCTTGCCGCGGAAAATTTAGCTGCTTGCTTCTTTGTTGTCCTGGCTGTCTGCCATACGCATAGGCATGCTGCTGCTGCGCAGGGCATGGTACGATGAATAATGTATGACCGACCGATGCTTAAGGTGTGGGTGCTTGCGGCTTTCTGCTTGGAACGACTCAGGTTAATTGTTTCTGTGTTTTCATGGCCTACTCCGCGCGCGGCACCCTACCACCCGTTGAACCTTGCGTGCGAACAGCACTGCACATGTGTCCTTGGATGAGCCAGATCGAGATGATGAGCCTATGATGAGGGCACGTGCAGAAACCTGTAGCGCCCCGCTCACTTCATCTCCATGAGGTTCTTGCTGGCCTGGAAAGGGGGAAGGAGCACGCTGCCTGATGTGTGGAACGACGCGTTACGCCCTTAGCTCGGCGATGAGTGATCTGCAAAGACAGCTTGGTCGTTACGACCTGCGGCATCTTGCTTGGCACCGAAATCCTGCCTTCGCGCGGAGAATGCGCTCTTGGCAGCTGGCCGAGAACGTCACGTGGTTGGATGTGCTTGCAGAGACTCTGGGCGTCGACGTGGTGCTAGTTGCATGGTGGCGACACACGGCCAACCTCAAAGCCCTGGCAGGCTTGTGCTCAACCCTTGAAACCTTAAATAGACTGTCTCTCGGATCTTTGAGTCTGCTCTTCAGGATACCTGAGCTGGGCAGCCTATGATCGGTCGCAAGCACAGGGCCAGGCCAATTGATCCCAAAAGTGCTAGTTCCTGCAGGTTGAAGGGCTGCCTCATCTTGGGGTCCACAGACTGCCATGGACCCTTGTCGGGAGTATGGAGGGTGCATGATCCCAATGTCATGAAGGGCTCATATAGTTTAGGTCCGCAGACAAAGTATGGGGCTTCGGACACTAGGCACGCAGAACCCTTTGGGACATCGCAACGCTACTTCAGTAGGCCACTGTGACTCTTGTCTGGAGGTCCAGATTGGTAGAATCAAGCCTTTCCATAGGCAAGAATATTTAGGTTTCTTTAAGTGTTGAAGCTCATCACAGCTGAGTCGAAAGGGAAAGCTGTTCGGACGCAGTGAAGCTACAACTTCGTGAGCGTGCAGTCAGCGCAGTCGTTCAAACCCCTGCGCGCGGCCACAGCTGCTTTGCAGCTGCTAAGCTGCCACCATCACACGCACCCCGAAGCAAGAACAAAGGTTCAGAGGCCTATAAAGGTTTAGGGTTTAGGGTTTAGGGATTTGTTATATCGCCATCTCATGTTTGCAGTTGCGATGTCTCTCACGCGTTGCTGCAACTGCCGTCACACAGGTCCACGCGATGCTTGAAGCACGCCGCTGCACCAGACTGCCCTGCTTGCTGGAACCCATGGCACTTAAGCCACCATCCCAGTTACAACTGGGAAGCCACTGAGACTGAAGGCCAGACCAAAGAGTGAAGCAATAGGAAACAGGGCATGGATGCCCTCGGAGGATCAAGAGATCTGCGCAAAAGGCGTCACTGGGCTTGCTGGACCTTCTGGACATCATGTGCTTACTCTTCGTGGGTTTCCAAAGTGAGGGCTCCGGACTTTTGGGAATCCACGACATCGGTGTGCGAGCGGCGCTGCTCGGCAGGCGGCGGCTCCGGTCAACCTGGAGGTTGATCGGCTCATGGCGAATGCTGTGGCTCCTTCACTCCTTCACTCCGACCCTTCCGCCCTTTCCGGGCGTCTGCGTGGACTGTGCCTTCTTGGGGAGGAAGCGTAGAAGCTTCAGACATCGCAGGGGGTCAATGGCCGTGTCCCCGGACGGGCAGGCGCTAAGGCAAGCTCCATTGCAGCGTCTTTCTTGGCAGAGGACAGCTGATGGCGTGACAGCTTCAAGGGCTTGCGCAGGCTAAGCCGATGCCCAGCAACGGAATCGAGCTCCCAAACCGAGGTCAAAAGAGGCTCTGCTAAGCTGCTAAGCAAAGGTATAAGAGTGGAGCCAAACCGGTTCAGGGCTCACTCAAGCCCGAAACGACCCTGCCACTTGCCAACTGCTCGGGCAGGACTCGCATGAATGAAGAGGCGAGGTTCTGCGGGCAAAAGCTGTCCCTATGTAGCACCTACTTTAGGGCTATTAGGGTTTAGCTGGCCTGTCTGCAGCAAGGAACGCCTCATGAGATTGGCGGGTTCCTGCTTCAGGGTGCTTCGGTGCGCAGCAGCAAGCCCAGCAGCCTGGCATTGGCTTGAAAGGCTCAGGGTTCATTGGTATAAGGCTTAGTCTTCTTCCTTTCCTTCCTCATTTTCATATTTGTTACTTTTTGGGGCTAAAGGGCTGGGGCTTAGAGCTGGGGGGTTATTGGGTTGTAGAGGTCTGGGGTTCTATGGCTACCGGAAGCTGGGCCTTTTAGGGCTTCGGGGCATGCATCCTCAACCCGCGGGGCTGATGGAGGTTCTAGCGCTTGAGAGTTTTGAAGCCTGAGAGATGGACGCCGGGTTTAGGGTTTAGGGTTCAGGGTTTAGGGTTTAGGGTTTATGGTTTAAAGTTTAGGGTTTAGGGTCGACACCCTGAACCTTAAGCTTTCAGGGCCTGAACCTCTGAACCTGAACCCGAACCCAAAAGCAACAAACCCTACTTGGAGTTTCTTAGTGGGAGAGGAAGGAAGTGGGGTAACCTGTAGCAGCCCTTAAAGAGAATAGGGGGGATGCAAGGTATATACTTGGAGGTCCATGGGTGGTTACAAGTGGGGGAAAAAGTAGGGCAGAGTTCAGACCTACACCCAGGTTTGACTTGGAAGGGTACAGAATGCCTTTAAGGATATTTGGCACCTCAGCCAGATAACATGCGAGCCCCAGACAACGAAAGCAACAGATCACATTACAGCTTAGCAGCAATTACCCTTAAACACATTCCTAAGAAGTACGCATGTAGCTGTATGTGAATGGAGAACCGGGTAGAGCCCAACCCGCCTCTAACATAAACCCTACCTAAAACCCTAAAACCCTAAAACCCTAAAACCCTAAAACCCTAAAACCCTAAAACCCTAAAACCCTAAAACCCTAAAACCCTAAAACCCTAAAACCCTAAAACCCTAAAACCCTAAACCCTAAACCCTAAACGCCTCGAACCTGCCATCTGATGCCCAGAAAGCCTTCGTCTCCGCGCCCGGTCTCAGCCTTCGCCGGCCAGCGAAGCCATCGTCAAGACCTCGGAAGGACATAAAGCTTTCGTAGGCTTTCTAGACTCTAAACCCTAAACCCTAAACCCTAAACCCTAAACCCTAAACCTCGAACCTCAAACCTCCTACTTATAACTGCTCGTGAACCTCATACTGGGCCCTTAAGTCTGGAAGGCCTTATCTAAACCCTAAACCCTAAACCCTGAACCCTAAACCCTAAACCCAGTCCCATTTCTTCAGAGCCCTTTGCGCAAAGGTAAGGGACCATACGAAGGGGCCAGGAAACTACCCCCCACGCCCCTCCTATCTCTTCCTCAAACCCTAAACCCTAAACCCTAAACAGCTCTCTCAGGTCCCCCTGCGCTGGCGCTGGCAGGGCTCTTCAGGGCGGGCACCGCGGCCTAGCAGGACGGATGGGTACATTTAGGGTTTAGGGTTTAGGGTTAGGGTTTAGAGTAAGACTAAGGCCAAAAGACCCTAAACCCTAAACCCTGAGACCTCTGATTTTCAGGGCTTTCGGGCACGCAGACCACGTGATAAGTAAGGTACTTTGCTTTTCTTGCGGGGTTGGGGTCGAGGGTTTATGGCCTTCGAGCGTTAACGGTCCTAGGGAAGGAGATCTGGAGCTGATAAGGGCTCCTGGGGTTAAAATGGTCTATAGCGGTTAAGCCGTTGATGGGGGTTGAAGTATTGGATCAGGACTCAAGCTCAACTTTAAACTTCACAGTTTGCAGGGTTCAGGGTGTTCAAGGCTGAGGCAACCCTTATAGCTCGATTTCTCGACCATGCTCTACAAAACATATGCAGTGTGAGGCCGAATGCAAAACCCTAGACCCCTAAACCCTGCCTGGGACCCTATTTACCTGCTGTTTTGAAGGCACCCTAAACCCTAAATCCTAAACCCTAAACCCTAAGCCCTAAACCCCTGTGAGGGAGGCATAACCCTTAACACTGTAGGTAAATCCGGTCCCAGGTTATTCCCCCTGTTGAGGGGATGAGTACAGCAACCCTGAAAATGGTGAAGGCGCAAAGGGCTGAGGGTTAAGGACTTAGGATTGTAAGGGCTTAGGGTTTAGGGTTTAGGGTTTAGGGTTTAGGGTTTAGGGTTTAAGTTTAGGGTTTAGGGTAAGGCTGGAGGATGTAGGGTCTTTTGGGTTTCGGGGCATCCGGGAGGAAGGGGCGAAAGACTTACCCCTGGGACATGCCTAGCTGGAGGTACGTAGAAGAGTCCCAACCGTCCCTAAGCAAAGTCGATCTGACCCCCCCCCCCCCCCCACGCCTCAGGCAGGTGTGGCCATGGCTTTAATGGAGATGCTGTAAGATTCACGTCGAAAAGTCGGGGAGCCTTTCAGGCTTTAAGCCCGACAGATCGCTTGGCGAAGCATGGGGCAATCCTCGGCGGCCCGGACGCCCGCGCAGGCGCGAATGGTCATGTGGGAGCGCATCACCAAAGAGGTCCTTTCTTTAATCGGAGTGATCAGGTATGTACAGGGTTTCTAGCGGGTTTGGAGGGCTTCGGGTAGCTTTTGTATAGAGTTTGGGAGCAACTGCAAAGCGACTCCAAGCGCATGCGCGACCAATCGGCAGCACTCAGCCAGCACACGAAGGGTTCGGTGTCTTCCAAGCTTGGCTCCTGTGGCTGGACGCAGACACCTGCTGCGTGAAAGCTCCTCTGATCACCTCGAATTCCAAGCCCTATGCCCTGAAACTTACAGGCCCCCAACTGCTGAAACCTGTAGCTCTGCTGATATCTCCCCAAGCCTGACTTCTGCGCCAGCCTAGGTGCGGACCAAAAACGAGCTTACATGGTACCTTAACCGTCGGGCTGAGAGGCCAACTTCACAGACCTCCTAAGCCACACTCCCAGGAGAGTCGCCAGGCCTTGTGAAGGCCGGTTCCCCGACGCAAGGGAGGCAGTTCAGCGTCACGGCACATCAACCCTCAAACCAAGCCGGGTCATGTCAAGCTTAGGCCTAGGCTGAGGGACGGCTCACCAGGCTCGTGCCTAACACAAGGTGTGGCAAAGGAGCCGGGGTTTCGGACTTGGGGACTTCAGGTGGATTCTGTGGCTGAACTCCATGGCAGCTGCACAGTTCAGGGGCCCGCACAGCGCACAGGGGCCCGGCAGCTCACACCGGAAGCGGGGAAAGAAGTGGAGGCCGAAGACTCACCGCTGCAAGCTTTGCCGCTGCAAGCTTTCTGCTTTTCCTGCTCTGACCCCGCAGCACGCTCTCTCTACGAATCGCGCATTCAAGCCAAGATGCGCTCCACTCACGTCCAACCAGTGAGGCAAAGACATTCAAGAATCGTCACGTGAGGATTCTTGGGCACGAGGCCAGGCATGCAACTCAAGAACGAATCCACCTGCCCTGAGTGGACGGGCGCGAGCAGAGCATCATCGCAAGAATCGCAACAGCTCGAGTGATGTCCAAAACCAGCTGGAAGCTGGAGCAAGCTGTGAGACGCTTTGTGAGACAATTGCGCAGTAGGCTTTGGAGAGTGGCGCTTGTCACTGGTGGTGCCTATGGATGGAATATCAAGTATTTTTGTGCTCAGTGTTGTGCTGAAGGTTCCTTCCCCGTATAGGAGTGGTGATGCTGC